CTGAGACAATGAATTTTGGTTTTTAATTTTTTTCCCCTGTAAGAGGTTTTTATTTAATAGAATTTTTGGACAAAAAAACTTCGCAATATATCGCCTTGCTTACAGTATCGCAATATATCGGGATATATCATATCGTGACCCCTCTGTCATGATATGTATCGTATCGCCAAATTATTGCCAATACACAGCACTAGTAAATAAGCAGAATCAAGAAGTACAATAATTTGTCACAGGTAGCTTCACCTCTGTTTTTATGAAATACTTGGATTAAATTTTGAACTTTATCCCTCAATGAGCCCCTAACACACAGAGACATGCTGTAAAAAAATTAAATAATAATTAAAGAATTGTACTAAATGCCTAAAAACCACAATAAGAACCAAATACTGGATTTACAGAGAACCATAACAACACAAAAAAGAATGCTTGTAATAAATTCATAATTTTTACTCCTGCATTTATTCATCTGTTCATTAAAGTGTCACATTTAGGAAATATGAGCAGACAGTTATGTAATTGTGTGTTTAAAATATTAATAGGGTGTATTTTTTTGCACAGAAAGACATTTGAGTGACAGATGAGGATTATAACCATGTCAAGTAAAATATAGTTAGTGAATACTGAATAGAACAGAAGCACATGAACAACAACAAAAACAAAATACAACTTTTGCTGAAAGGAATATTTGGTGTCCATGTGTTTTTTTGGACATTTGTATAAGATTTAATATGAATTTATTCACTGAACTAATAAAAAATGTTTTTTATAACTGCAGATTATTATTTACTTAAGCAAGCTGTAATTTATTTAAAACTGGGGCTAAATAACTTTGTAAAAATCTTGGTGACCATCAATCTTTTGAAGCAATTTATCACAAATCAATCTGCTTTATTAGCTCTTTCCAGGAACAAACACTATCATCCTCTAATAATTATCACAAAAAACAACGTAAAATATTAAAAAATAACTCTTATCAGTATAATTCAGGTTTTTCAAAGAGTCAAAGCAGAAAGATCAGTTTTATAGCTGGGAAGCTTACCAGGAATGTTCATTTTAGAAATGACAGCCTCTTATGAATTATTGTGTAACAGATCAGACGAACATCTGGACTCTGATAGTTTTTTTTTTCTGTACAATTTTTATTCACACATCTGTGACCTATTTGACTGTTAGGACCAACAAATCCGCTGCAGCTGGACTTTATTCAGACTAGAAGTCAGTTAAACTCCTACATTTGGGAGATTAATGTGGGGATAAAACATAAATAATGACCTCAGATAAATGCTTGCAATGTTTTCTTCAAGCTGCCCTTAATGTCAAAGCTGCTTAGCTGTTCTGGACTGTGGGGCGTTCTTTTTCAGATAGACCTTCACTTCATGAAGAAGATCCCACCGGGTGCAGAGGCGTGTAATGTGTTGGTGGGAGAGCTGGACTTCCTGAACAAGCCGGTGGTGGCGTTTGTCCGTCTTTCCCCTGCGGTTCTGCTCAACGGGCTGGCTGAAGTCCCCATTGCTACAAGGTCACTGCAGCTATGTTTTTTTTAGTCAAATAAGAAACTACAGCTTCTTAGTTGAAAATAAAAATCAGTTCCTTCCATGTCTCACATTTATTGTGACAACTAAATGTATGAATGAACTCATTCTTATTTCTTTCTTTCCAACAATTTCTTGGACTCTAAAAACTACAGTAAACTTTCAGTTGTTTGAGTTTTTAATACATCAAAAAAAGTTCAGCTTGTTCAGGATATTATGGTGGTGACTTTTGTTTCTTGTAATTTTTATAATTTTTTTTTTCTTACTGAACTGCATTAATATGTCTTTTTTGAAAGAAAAAAAAGTCTCCTTAAGATTTCCTGTCTTTATGGTTGCTTTTGTCTTTTATGCATCACTTTTTTCTTTTTATGTCTTCTTATGAATCATTTTAGTCTCTTTATGCATCCTTTTAGGGTCCTTATGGCTCATTTTTTATCCTTTCAATGTAATTTTTTGTCTTTTCATGTTTATTTTTAGTCTCTTTTTGTGCCATTTTTGGTTCCCTGTGATATGTTTACTGTTAAGCATCCTTTTTTTTGTCTTAATGCATTCTTTATGCCTTATACATTTTTGTCCTTTCTGTCCTTTTCGCCTCTTATGCTTCCTTTTTGTCTTTATCTCATTATCTTTGCTTTAGTCTTTAATGTCTCTGCTTTTTCTGTCCGTCCTTCTGCACCTTATGTCTTCTCTTCTGAAAATCTTTCAACTTGCATTAAAGTTCAGCTGTTAAACAACTCACTTTCCATGTCGTTTAGCATTAACACTGCATCTTTCCAGAAAAGTAAATTCTTTCTCGTTTCTTTTTTCCCGTCCAGGTTTCTGTTTATAATTTTAGGACCCTTGGGTCGGGGGGCCCAGTATCACGAGATCGGACGCTCCATAGCAACTTTAATGACAGACGAGGTAAGAAACAAAATGTCTCTAAAATGTTTTCACCCTAAAGGATTTCTAATGGTTTAGCACACGTGCACCACTTGAAGAAATGTCAATCATGTCTCGTGTTCAACTTTTCTGCGCTTTGCATAAATTCACAGCCCAGAAGAACTCAATTCACTTCCCTGAAGTGGTGGAACAGTTTTTCATGTGTGAAACACAGCTCAGAGCTTTCATAACTTGCTTTTGGCGATTAGTCAGCCCTCATGTGCTTCTATTTGTCCAGATTTTATGCTGTTATTTACCAAGACTGTGGAAAAACATCCACCGCACGAAAGTGTATACTCTGTTTTTGGAATAAACGCAGACAGAAATGATTAAGTTATTAGCTGTACGATGGTACCAGGAATCAGCTTTATGGAGTCAATGTCAAGTTTATACAACTTTAAAGACCTGCAGGTTTTCATAAACCTCACACAAGATTAAATGTGTCTAAAAGAGCAAAAATGATTAACTTTGGTTTCTTTCTCTTGATAATCAGTGTTTATTATATTTTGTACTCAGATTATATTTTGTCCGTCTTTATTTAGCCTCCAAACAATCACATATAACCATCATATTCTAACATAAATTGTTTTAAGCCTGAAGTGACGTCGTTTTTTTTGTCTGTAGGTTTTTCATGATGTTGCCTATAAAGCTAAAGACCGGAATGATCTGATTGCCGGTATCGATGAATTTCTCGATCAAGTGACTGTTCTGCCTCCGGGAGAATGGGACCCGTCCATACGGATAGAGCCACCAAAAAACGTACCTTCTCAGGTTTGTCCAAACTCTTTTTCTTTCTTGCTTCTGTTCTGGTATTCGACAGCAACAACCTTTAGCCTGAAACAGAAATTGAATTATTTGTTAAACAGGAAAAAAGAAAGAAAAGCAACATTTTACCAAATGGATTAGTGGAGGGCGAGGAGGAAGATGAGCACGATGGCCACGGTGGTCCAGAACTGCAGCGAACTGGGAGGTAAAATTCCAAGTTACACAGGAAATAGTTTCTGAAGTAAAATCTTATCAGCAGCAAATGAAACTAAAGTCTCATCGGTTTTATTATTAGTTTGGTTGGTGAATAGTTTTCTAACGTGCACACAAATTCTGATATGAATCCAACCAGCAAACTGAAAAATACCATCTTCCCACAAACAGACCCAGTGCAGCTGAATGCCTTTTTTCTGTGGAAACTTGTGCTGTAGCTGCAGTCCTGAAGGGGTTTCCATAGAAACATCTTTATCTATTTGCAGCTAGACTTTTCCATCTTCACACCAAACCAACAGCTCAGTTTTAGGAAGGAGGCAGGGACGGAAGAATACATTTGAGAGCAAAAACAAACAGAGCAGTGTTTTGTTTCTGTTTATGAAATAACAAAAACTGGGACATTTTAAAAGTCTAATTTTTATAATTTTCAGGTGGTTTGGTGGTCTCTTTCTGGACATCAAGCGGAAGGCCCCCCACTATCTGTCTGACTACACTGATGCTTTTAGTTTGCAGTGTGTTGCCTCTTTCTTATTCCTCTACTGTGCCTGCATGTCTCCTGTTATCACCTTCGGAGGACTGCTGGGCGAAGCGACGGAAGGAAGAATAGTGAGTTTTTTCCCCCCTGTTAAACGTTTCCACTCACGTTGTAGGAGCTTGTAAATCATGACTCAGTTTTTCATGACGGCAGATCGAATGATTATAGTCAGAACAGGATTTGCTAACAGCAATCACTCTTAGTTATCACTTGCATTCATCTCTGTTTTCTCTTGACCCAGYAAGGTGCTTAGGATGAAATCTTGCTTYATTAAGATGACATAAYGTTTGTTAAAYAGTATATATAGGAGGCCTTATTACTGATTTTAGGGGGAGCAGGGGTCAGCACAGATTTTGACAGCCTGTTGACTTTGTGTTAACTTAAGTGTTCCTGTTTAACAAGCAAACTCAGATGACCACTCTACCATTTTATTTTTCATGTCACGTATTTCTGTTTCTTGCTAAATAAAGATTTCCAGAAGAATTTGAATGTCTATATGTTATTTCACTAAAACTGTTTKCTTTCATTTCTTCCAGAGTGCAATTGAGTCCCTGTTTGGCGCCTCTCTGACTGGAATAGCCTACTCCCTGTTTGCTGGGCAGCCCCTCACCATTCTGGGGAGCACRGGCCCCGTGCTGGTGTTTGAAAAGATCCTGTTTAAATTCTGCAAGTACGCTATACTTAAAATGTGATGTCACGAAATGAAACAACGAACCGAACGACTCTGTGGTCTGTTTTATTTGTGCGCGGCATCCGTTCGGGTATAAATTCTCGGCTATTTGATCAGCTCACTTTGTAATWCATTCCCTGAGCTTCCAGCATCAATCGTGATAATGACTTTCTCCAATCTGCCACGTTTGGAACAATAAGTAATCACATTTGCTCTCCTTGTTAATCTCCATGCAGGGAGTACGGCTTGTCGTATCTGTCGCTGAGAACCTGCATCGGCCTGTGGACGGCCTTCCTCTGCATTCTGCTGGTGGCCACGGATGCCAGTTCCCTTGTTTGCTACATCACCCGTTTCACGGAGGAAGCGTTCGCCTCACTCATCTGCATCATTTTCATATATGAAGCCTTGGAGAAACTTTTGCACCTGGGAGAAATCTTTCCCTTCAATAAAAACAACAACTTGGACAAACTCACCACGTACTCGTAAGCAAAAGAATCATCTTTTTAAAAGGATGGAAAGTTGATTATGATTTTAGTAGCTGTAGCTAAAAGACAAAACAGGAATTATTAAGACACTGATTTGCTGTGACAGATGTTCCTGCGTTGAGCCTCCGGACCCCTCTAATGTGACTCTAAAGTTCTGGGAGCTCAACAACGTCACCGCCTCTGAAATCTACTGGGAAGCTCTGGAGGTGAAGGTACGACTCTGTGCAGTGATAACAGCGACAGGAAGCTGAAACAGACATGTGGGTCGTGTCAAAAGTTCAGAAAAGAACTGTTGCAGTAAAAAACTGGAGTGGAAAAGAAAAAAAGAAAAAAGGAACAGTTTGCGTTTCATCTTAAAGTGGCCAGCTTATCCAGATGGAGGAGACGAGACGAGATTTAGGACATGTGGGCTGGATTATGTTAGATTACTGTWTATCAGATTAAACCGGTACTGCAGATCGTTGTAAAAGTACTTTTTCCAGCATCGGTTGTTTCTGCTCCTGAACTCTGTCACTTCATCGCTAATCCAATAAGTCTGATTGATTCCGCTCTACTCTCCTCCTGCAGGACTGCGTTGAAAAGCGAGGGGAGTTTGTTGGAACGGCCTGCGGGCCTCACGGACCCTACGTTCCTGATGTTCTCTTCTGGTGCGTCATTCTCTTCTTTTCTACTGTCGTCATGTCTGCCTTCCTCAAGGAGTTCAAGTTCAGCAATTACTTTCCCACAAAGGTACCATGCATCACCATTATCATCTCTGTTAGACTAGAATGAGTCCAACTTGTGCAGCACAGTGCAGCATTACCCTCTAGTGGTAATATATTAGTATTGCCTGCTTGAAAGGATGTGGTTGTAGGTGGAAATAAAAACAGAACAGAAAAGTACAGATCATAAAAATATATAAGATTACACACAAAAATCACTAATAAATAAATGAATGAATGAATGAATGAAATAAAAACAGAACAGAAAAGTACAGATCATAAAAATATATAAGATTACACACAAAAATCACTAATAAATAAATGAATGAATGAATAAATAAATAAATAAATAAATAAATAAATAAAGTGAATCCAATATTAAATGTATGAGTCATAATGAAAGCATGAAGACAAATATGCTTTCAATCTGTTTTTAAAACAAGAGTTCCAGACTATTTTGACTGTTTTTTCCTCACAAATTTTTTTTATTAAGAATATTTTTTATTACATGATATTCCTACTTTCTTTTTCCTCTTTTTTTAAGCATTTTCTTTTGCATTTTTACAGTAACCCCAGAGCACCTCCTGCCTTCCCAATTTGAAATTGCATTATTAAATCTTGCTGCATATTGACTAATTAAAATTTTTTTAGTATGATAAGAAGGTTCATTTAGAGATAATTTAGCATATATTTGATATTCTCACAACTTTCAGTATCTGTCTGAGGCACTGAAACGTAAAGCTGAACTCATTTGGTTCTATCGTTTTGCTTTTTCTGTTAAAAGTGTGTAACAGTCATTTGATCTAGCAAAACTAAAAGCACTAGCTTTTCCAAGTCAGGAATAATTTATATATGCTTTTAAAAAGTGACAATAAGCATGTTTAGATTTAGATTCTCTGTCTTCCTGGACATGAAAAATCCTTAGAATGTAAGAACAAGGCAATTAAACGTCTCCTCTGTTAGCTGAAGACGTTTTGTTTCTCAACTAAGGTGCATTTTCCATTGAAAATGAAACTAAAAACTAACAGGAAAAACAATCCAGTTGCCATTTTAGGACCTAAATGAGGATAATTACAAAGCTGAGGCGGCTGGCAGAAACAGATACATATAACTATGTATTGTCAGCATTGAGGTGATGAGATGTTAAACTGAGTTAAGTTTATTTTGTCTGGAGTGTGCATGAAAAACAAACAAACCATCACGCTTGTAAAGAGGCAAATGCATTGTGTCGGATTTAGCATAAAGCTAATTTTCATCTGCTGCTCCCCTACAGGTAAATATGTTACAAAACAAAACACAATTAGTACCACCAAGTGTAATGTCAAGGGTAAAAAAAAGCAACAATTCATATAAAAGAATTACAGAACAAGTCTACTTTCCACAAATACGGATTTAAAATTGTCTAATGACAGACCCAAGTAGAATAATATACAGACTAAATAAAAAATCKAATAAATGATGAACAGTGGTGGGCAGCACTAATTTAAATATTTGTTCCACTAGCCCTAAAACACTAACTCAAATATTAAGGTCCCCTAATTCCAAAGCACTAATGCACTGAAGGTTTTTAGCAAAAGCTAATTCTAAAGCACTGAAATAACCTAATCAACACATGAACATTCTTGAACAGACAACATGAGTCACATATCGCCATGTTGCTCTCTTAATACTTATCATTGACATTCCACAGCCTTATTTGAGTTCATATATAGTCACCTGTCAGCTGTTAACATTAATGTTGATCAATAACATTTAAAAACCTCAGTTAGTGYTTCTAAATTTACCCTTTAAATTTAGCAAGTGCTAATCCACTAATAAATTTTAAAAACGGCAAAATCTCTAAAGCACTAATCAGGAAATTTGTTCCCCTATTAAGTGCTTTAGGGGAACTGTGCCCACCACTGATGATGAATTGTTTTGGTGTCACTTTCATCAGGTGCCTTTTCTTTCAGGTGCGCGCCATCATCAGTGATTTTGCGGTTTTCTTCACTATTCTCACCATGGTCTTGGTCGACTACGCCTTAGGGATCCCATCTCCAAAACTAAAGGTTCCCAGTGTGTTTAAGGTTAGCAATAAATCAAGTTTCGTTCACTAGACACTGCTCATGTAAATCCTTGAAAATGTACTAGACTCAGAAGGTGGCAGTGCAATATACAAAAGTGTTATTGTTTTGACAGCCAACCAGAGACGATCGAGGCTGGTTTATCAACCCACTGGGGCCCAACCCCTGGTGGACGGCAGTCATAACTCTCATACCGGCTCTGCTTTGCACCATCCTCATCTTCATGGACCAGCAGATTACAGCCGTCATCATCAACAGGAAGGAAAACAAACTCAAGGTACTCCTCTGCTCTGGCTGAAGCCTTTGCGTGGCTTACGTGGCGTCAACGTGACAGGATTTGTCCAACTCTCCTTCCTCTTCAGAAAGGCTGCGGATACCACCTGGACCTGCTGATGGTCGGGGTGATGCTGGGCGTGTGCTCTCTGATGGGCTTGCCGTGGTTTGTAGCGGCCACCGTCCTCTCCATCACCCACGTCAACAGCCTGAAGCTGGAGTCGGAGTGCTCGGCTCCCGGGGAGCAGCCCAAGTTCCTCGGGATCAGAGAGCAACGCGTCACGGGCCTCATGATCTTCACCCTGATGGGCTCCTCGGTCTTCATGACCTCGGTGCTGAAGGTGAGACACCATCACTACGTCCTGGTGCAGTTTTGATCTCTGATCTTTTAGGTGTGATTTTAAGCATTCAATTGTTATTGTACTTTCAGTTTATTCCAATGCCTGTGCTGTATGGAGTATTCCTTTACATGGGAGCATCTTCTCTCAGAGGAATTCAGGTAAAAGTAATAAAAAAAGAGAGTTTCCCACAATTTATTGCACATTTTTATTATTTTAGGGGGGTGGGGGGATTATGTATTTTCCAGACATATAGTTCAATTCTATACCAACATCAAGTAACTATGTTACCTTCTAAAGGCCTCGAAATTGCCCTCTGTCTCTTTAAAAACCTCCTACCATTTCCTTTTTTTGCCACTTCAGTAGAAAACAAAACTGAATGTTAGTTTCTTAATTTCTGCATCATCAGTGGCTTTTTTCATTTTTATTATTCTATAGTAAGAAAGAAAAAGAAAAATTAGAAGAGAAATATAAGAACAGTAAAGAGAGAAACCGATAGAAATTATATATGTATATAAATTATATATGTGAAATGAACAGTGCTTCATGCTGTTTACAACCTTCTTTTGGAGCATTGTATTTTATCGTAAAAAAAACAACATTATATAATATCAGTTTTGGAAAATGGCAACTCAGGATACAGTTGAACCTTATTACTCAAATGATCCCATGTTGAACCCGGAAAGTATACGTTTTCTGAAGAACCGGAGCAAGTACAGTGGCTCTTACAAGATGTTTCAGCTACTTTTTGCAAAGAAACTAGAAATATAGATCATTATGAAGCCATGTTTTGCAACACCCACCATTGTTAAGATGTGTTTTGCAATGAAATCAGAGTGATTTGCAAAGAATTGTTTCTTCCAGTCTGGTGGAGCTGAGGGGAGGCGTGGGGGAGGGGTGCTCTGCAGGGCGGGAGCTTGGCTGGGGAGGAGCTTTGGGTAAACAGGCAGCGCCTTGTACCAGAAAGTGTTTTTGCGCCTCTGATTGATTACCACAGGGGATTCAGTGATTTCTTAAATGTGCATGTCTATGTCAAAGCAACACTCTGGGTATATTTTTGATGATGAGGGAATGACATTAGAACATGATGTAACTACACATTCTCACTCCCAAGTCGTCACATATTGACGCTTAAGGTAAGGTTCCCTCTGCGTCTTATTTTGACGCATCAGGTACCCCCCTCGCGTCAGTCCTTGACGCCCGCGGCTTTTCCGGGTTGCGCCACCAGGGGTCTTTGCGTCGGGGGTCTGAGGTTAACATGAGGGATCAGGATTAATGGTTAAGTTTAGGTACTGGGATCAGGGGTAGGATGTCCATGGTGAATATTAGGTCATTTTAGGCTTCAGAACATGTTCACGTGAATTTCGTACATTTTCTAAAAATGGCTAATTTTAGCTACTATGGTCAGGGACAGGATGTCTAAAGTGAACAAAGGTAATTTCAGGCTTTGGAACGGTCGTTTTTGCGCATTTTATACACTTTCTGAAAATAAGACAACAGCTTCCGCCCCATCTCGTCAGTAACTGACGTGACGGGGGTACCCTGCGCGTCAAAATCGGACGTAGAGGGAACCTTACCAAAGCGTCACTATGTGACGACTTGGGAGTGAGAATGGGTTGGATGTAAAGCTCAAAAAGTCGATTTTGCGTAATTCCCCCCTTCCCCATTTTAAAACCACTTGTCTAACAAAATATAGACTGAGCAATTTCCTTTTCACCAGCTGACCGGTCATTTAGCAATACTCAAAATAATTTGAACAAAAATGCAACAATTTCACAATACGTCAAATGGCAAATTATAGTCTGCTATACAAAAATAGATTACTTGTGTTCACCTTTCTGAACACCTGTTTTGTTGTTTTTGAGCATCATGCAGGACCATTCAGGTAGCTTCTTTGTATTTTAGTGGTTCTGAAGTTAAACAGGACATTTTCCAATTATTATGAAGTGTAAATAATCGGCACGTTACAGTTTTTCTAAGTTGCTAAAACACATTTCTTGAAACCATCCATCTATTTCTTTAAACTGTAAACACAAAACCCAGTTTTCAAACTGCTTTCACAGAACCTCTGATTCTTCTCGCAAAACCAAACTTTAGCTTCAAAATAGTTCAAACTTTGCTCAAAACTGAACAATGTTGTCAAATCAGACCTCGAAGAAATCAAAACACAACAATACAGAGCAGTCATTACACACAACAGAGGGAAAAACGAAAACAATAATAAGATCATGAAGCTTTTGAAATAATCTTTTTTGTCCACAAAGAAGGCCTTTCCTAAACAAAACACCTGCATAGCACTTGTAGTAAATAAGTAAATAAATAAATAAATAAATAAATAAATAAAGT